GAAGAGAGGGAGGGAGGGAGAGGGAGAGGTTTCACCTAATTCCTTATTAGCCTGCTAACTTGTCCCTTCTACTATTTTAAGAATGCTTTGCCCATCTCATCCTCCTCATCAACATAATAATCCTCATCAACTTAAGATCCTGTCAGCATAAGTCACCCCATACTCCACTGATTACTGTGTATACCCAATACATAGTGGCTTGCCCAAAGTGTCTGTCTTTGCCCACTCTGGCATTGACCTCCCAGCCCCCCATGTACTTTGAAACTGTGTCCCTTTGACTTTCTTTCTTTTTCCCTTGCCCCCTCCCTAGGCAGAACTAGAAACTGTAGAAACAAAAAGCAATTTAAGCGCAGCTGGGACTTGAGACAGAGACTGATGGTAAATGAGAGACGAACATATCTTTTGGGAGTAATGGAAATGTCCTCAAACTGAGTCGTGCTAATGGTTGTTTAAGCCTAAATATTTATCAAGAACCACCGAATCTACAAAATGGGTGAATTTAGCCAGATGTGGTAGCTCATGCTAGTTATCCCAGAACTTAGTAAGCTGAGGCAGGAAGACTGCCACAAGTCCAAAGCTAGCCTGGGCTACATAATGAGTTCAAGGCCAGCCTGAACTATACAGCAAGATGCAGTCTCAAAAATAAACAAGTGAATTTTATCCTATGTAATTTATGCTTCTGCAAATCTATGAAGAAATTTAAGAAAGAATCTAGATTTTAAATTTGTAAATTTTCTAAATGAAATATCAAATGTTAAAAATAGATGAAAGGTGATCTAATATTTTCTTCTTCTATCTCTGGGTAATCTTTTTAACCTCTCAAGTGGCAGATACCCTAAGTTGAAAATCTATGTTAAGATGGCAGTTCTAAAATCTTCACTCTGTACTCTTGAGGAGCTCATTCAAAATTCATGTTCCTGGGGCACATTCCTCCCAACCTGTCACCAATGACTGCATCAATGTCTGGGGCAGTGGCAAGAATGTGAATTTTTCTTCTGTATATTTTTCACCTTTTCTCTCTCTGTCTCCCTCTCTCTCTCTCTCCTCAACTATGACCAGAGGTACATGGAATTAGGATTCCACATACTATAGCTGGATTGCAGGCAAGAAGACACTAGGCTTTAGATGGGCCCTAATCACAATTTAATTATGAAATGATTTCCCCCCCAAATTATATAGACTGGCTTTCAATACTATAGGTTTTCCTTTCCATAAATTCATATACTATAAATGGAATCACTCAACATGTGCTAATTCACATCTGGTTTCTTTCACTCAAAATAATGTCTTCGAGGCTCACCCATGCTGTAACATAAATTAATAGCTTTTTATTGCTGGATCATAGTCTATCATACTGATAGTATATCATATCATATTCATTCTTAAACATATGCATTGTTTCTAATTTGGGGCTATTAAAATAATGCTGTTGGGGGATGAATAAAATATATGCATATACAGATATGCCACTATTTGTAATATTTACTAAAAAGGGAATAATGCTGCTATATACATTGGTACAGAAATTTTTGCATGTACAGATGCTTTCATTGCTTTTGTTAAATTCTTAGTGAAATTTCTGTGTCATATGATACGTTTTTAAGAAACTACTTAAAAAATTTCTAAAGTGCTTGTACAAGTTTACATTCCTATCAGCAGGGTGTGGGGATTGCAATGCTGTTGAGACTCTTAATACACCTGTCATTTACAAATACTTTATTTCCATTTGTAAACGGGGAGGGGAGGAGCGGGTGAAGGGAGGGTAGGGACAAGGGGAAAAAATGAGAACCAAGACCTGTCATGTAAAGGTACGAGATACCAATAATGAATGTAATTGTACTGTATACCTAAAATGTACCAATAAACTCAATTTAAAAAATACAAAAAAAATAAAATGGCGATGGCCACAGAGATACGGGGATACTCACGTTAAGTGGGTTGTACCTCACGGTGCCTTAGCACAGAGACTTCGTCTTATCTAAGGAATAAAAACCTGAACCGAAACAAGTACGAAGCAGGACCGGAAATCTAGACCCGGAAGTGTTTGCGAAAGTTCTCGCAGAGGCTTCTGGGAAGTGTAGTCTTCCCGGATACTAGCCAAGGGAACAAGTCTCTGGCGACCCAACACCTTTTTCACATTGGGCATTTTACAAAGGGAGACAGAGACGCAGTCGTTATTGTAGTCACTGTCGTGGTAAATTAACCGTTACACGGCCCCCGAGTTGCTCCCTGGCAGCCAAGGGGAGCGGAGCCTACGAGGATCCTGGGACTCGGGGTTCTGGCTTAGGTCAGAGGCATGACTAAAGGCACCGACCCTGCTGAGCGGGGCCTACCTGGGTCGGGATCCTGGGCCCCAGGTTATCCTTAGGAGCGGTCGTGGGCTCTAGGTATCTCATTTTTGTGGGAGATGTGACCAGCACGGAATCCCCAAGTTCATGGTCATCCGTGGACCTTCCTTTCCTGCCTGGGATAGAGTGACCTGGAACTCTGATTTCTTTTTTGAAGGCAGTAGGATTATTTTTGGCCAGAGAATTCCTAATAGGGAAGATGGCTCTAGTCATACCTCTACTGGGGCTTTGGAGTTAAGTTCAGCTGGGACCAAGCAAACAAATATCCCTTGTGGTGGTATTGCATCAGGATGGGATCCTCACCTGGAACTCGCCTTCGCTGGAAACGCAACTCTTAGCTTTAGTAAATGAATTAAAGAAGGAAGAGTTAACATAAAGATGATTTGAGGTAAAAGATAGAAAAGAAAGAGGATAGACAGCTACCATGAGGTGGTAGGGGGCATTGGAGCCGAAAGCCCCCGAGCTTTATCCCAAGCTCATTTTATTTAGGTTGGCTAATGTCTTCCCATCCCCCAAGGGGTGTTGGTTTTGATCCTAACCTAGGCATTCCTTCTGGCCTTTTGGTTTCTTCCTGTCGTTTTGTTTATTTATTTATTTGTTTTTTGAGACAGGGTCTTACTATGTAGTTCAGACTGCTCTGGAACTCACTGTGTAGCCCAGGCTGGTCTCCAACTTACAGCAATCCTCTTGCCTCAGCCTCCCAAGTGCTGGGATTACAGGCATGCGCCACCATGCCCATCTGTCCTTTTGTAATGAATAAGTGAAAGGGGAAGGGCTTATAGGAAGGCAGCTTTAGACTCCTGTAAAGGGGACATGTGAACATGTGTGTACTATATTGATGTTAAAGTGAACATTTACACATGTGTGTCTATACGTAGGTGTGTGCATGAGAGTGTCTTACATATTAAATAAGAGTCCTTATCACCCTTGCATTTTTTTTGGGGGGGTCAGGTAGGTGAGAGGAGCTGGCTTTCCTGGTAATTGTATTATCTGAGGACCCTCAAGTCTAGCTTCTCTCTCCCTTTTTTTTGTCTTTTTAATTGCCCAAATTGTAGAGTCTATCTGTGAAGGCAGAAACTGCTTTTAGTAAGTTTTCTTATTGATTGCAATAGAGCTGAATGAGGCTTTTATCCTATCTTTCCCTACCTACAGGGTCCCTACTTTGAGACACCCATGGAATTGCTGTTTCAGGAAATGGTGGGGGTGGGTGAGCCTAGGGCAGAGTGGTGTTGTTTTTTGCCAGAGGGCTGTTTACTGAGATCTGGTATCTCCAAATGATTGTATAAATCTAGGGCTGACCATGAAATTTGATTAGGGGGGCTAGATAGGTCCCCAAGTGGTGACTGGTGGTGGTGGGAGGGAGGGAGGGAGGAAATCTCTGGTGAAGTGGGTGGAGGTAAACCTTATGTCATCAAATAACCTTGGGTGGGTGGGAAGATCCTGAAGTGTGTCCTGGGTCTCAAGTCCTCAAGGTTTTTAGGGATGAGGAGGTTTTGTCCTCTCGTGAGGGTGGACTGTACCACAATGGTTTGCTGATAGGCCGTCTTTTTAAAGGAGACAGGTCTGTTCTCAGGATTTGTTGTGTGGCAGAAGCCTACTCTACTTTGTGGCAAAGATCTGGGGTTTGGCTATAATGTGGATGGCCAGATCGATTTCCCCCTTCATGTCTGATTTTCCCTCACTTGTTCAGGAACAAACCTCTAGTTTGGAGCTACAGTGGCATTAGGGAGCTACAGACCCCCAAGGTCTCCTAACCAGTGATCACTTCAAGTTAGGAGAGAGAAACCCCACTCCTTGACTAAACTGAGACAATTACCCAGGTCCTCCCTAATCTAGAGTCCCACTAGACTGAACAACCTCTCAGATGCAAACACTGCAGGTCAGCCCTGTCCTCTACCCAGTCCTGTCCGGCACTCAAGTGGACACTGACTGTATCCCATGGTCTCTGCAGGAACCTAATTGAGGACATCTTTGGTGTCAGAGTTGAGGACGAGGCTTTGGCAGTTTCACCCCTCAGCAGATATCAGAGTACACAGAAAAGAAACTGTGGGTGCATGGGGAAAGGAAAGGATATAAGAAAGAGGCACACTGTCTTGGGGAAAAGCTTTTTTGGGAAAGGTGTTACATGGGCAGGGGTGGGGAGGATGTAAGATGCCTTAACAGTAAGTTTAACCTCCCAGACACAAAAGGACATACTTAGGAAGAAGGTCTGTGTGTGGGAGGGGTTATAGTTGAAGGTTTACCTTGATGGTCCTGTCTCACCTACATCTGAAGGTCTCCAGGAGAAATCTCAGCCCTCCCCCATTCTCTGAAAGTAAGGTGGCAATAGTAATTGAATGGACTTTTCCCCCACTGTTTATAATTAGATATAGTAAAAAAGTGGTCATTCATTAAGTTTTCTTTTTGTACATCAGTTCTCTCCCTATTTTCTTATCCTTTTGTTTGGTCTTGAATTCAGAACCCCTGTCATTCCTCCTCACTTTCAAATTTTAGAATGGTCTTTTTTTCATATTGGTTTTTGCTGAGTTTTATGGAGAAAAAAATAGGTGAATTGTGAAAAAATGAACATTAATTTTAGTATGGAAACATTTGACTCAGTAATTGGAATAGGTGGGAACTATGTAATCTGACAAAAAAAATTCTAGCAATATGACTACTTGGGGAGACAGGGCAGCACTGTGTATAATGACTACGTCATAGTCACCTCTGGGTTACAGAGAAGTTTGGGGCAGGGAGGACCTCTGAGAGAGCTAACACTGTGACAGCACTTGATTGTGAAATGAGGTAGGGGTTGCCACACATGGTGGCACACACCTGTAATCCCAGGACTTAGGAGTCTGAGGCAGGAGGATCGCCACAAGTTCGAGGTGAGCCTGGGCTGCATGGTGAGTTCAAGTCTGGCCTAAATTACATAGCAAGACTCTGTCTCAAAAAACAAATCAGGTATGGTGATGCATATTAAAGTGGAGCTAATTAATACATACAGACAAGTGTTGTAACATTATCTGTACATATATTTCTCACTTATGAAAAATAAACCTGGAATTTTAAATATATCTTTAATTAACTGTATATGTTTATTTGGGGGTAACATGATACATACACATTATGTAATATTTTCATCAGTGTAAAAAAATCCATTTCTTTAAAAATATATTGTGTTGGGCCAGGGATTTAGCTCAGTGGCACCGCGCCTGCCTTGCAAGCGCAAGGTCCTGAGCTCAATCCCCAGTACCAAAAAGGGGGAGAAAAAAAAATATATTATATATAGTGTTTAATGGTGAAAACACTTGCCCTTCAAGCTTTGTGGACTACAGTATAGTGGTTATCCTATGTACAGACAGCAGAATTTATTGTTCCTATCTAACTATACCTCAGTATCCATTGATCAGCCTCTTCTGATCCCTCCCTTAAAATAATTAAATGTTTTTTGCATCAATTTCTTTCTAAAAGAGAACAAAAAAAAATCTACAAGAGAACAGATGGTAGTGGATTCCTGGAAACATGAAATTCTCTTATTGCCTCGTCTTCCATTAGTAAATACCATATTATCTTATTTATTTCCTCCTCATATGCATGAAATATATAAGGAATAAAATCCATGTTCTCATTGTGTATCTAGTTTTATACTTAATTTGTTAATTTTAATATGGACTTGTTTTGGAGAACAGCTAAATTCTTCTCTTTAAAGTGAAGTTTGAGCCAGGCGTGGTGGCGCACACCTGTAATCCCAGCACTTGGGAGGCTGAGGCAGGAGGATCGCTGAGAGTTCCAGACCAGCCTGGGCTACATAGTGAGTTCCAGGTCAGTCTCAACTACATAGTGAGACCCTGTCTCAAAAAAACCTAAATAAATAAATAAATAAAGTGAAGTCTGAGATTGGTTGAAGCATGACACTTTAGAGTCCTAAAAAACAAACAAACAAAAAACTACTGAATTTCTAGAGTTCCATTCACCAGTGTTCTTAAAAAGGTAAAAACATTAAAAAAAAGATATAAAACATTGCTTCTGTGAATGTAAGGGCACAGCTAAAGGCTAGAAAAATCTCACAAAGCCAGATTATACAAGGGACAGGACACACTCTTGTCCATTGCTGTTACAGTCCACAAGGTGGATCCTCGAGTTATCCAGCTTCACACTCTGTAAGACAGAGTTGGCTCAGCAAGATGCTCACTGCTGCTAGCCAACAATTCCTGTCTTTTCCTTTACTTTTTGAAAGCTACTTTTTGGCTGGCAGGAAATAAGCTTCATTTTGTGAATTTTAATAATACTTAACATAGTTCGTTGTTCTAAAAACTGATAAAAATAGAAGGGCTTTACCTTTGCCTAAATCTACTAAACTGCCACCAAAACAGGCTTAATTGCTTTTTTTTTTTTTTTTTTTTTTTTTTTATTTTGGTACCAGAGGTTGAACTCAGGACCTTTTGCTTGTGAGGCAGGCAGTGGCACCACTGAACTAAATCCCCAGCCTGCTTAATTTCCTTTTTGAGAGAGAGAGGGCTCAATATATGACAATTTGAAGAATAATAAATTTTGCAATATTGGAGGTGTGCCTGACCAAACTAATAAAAGGGGTGATTAAAAAATAGGTTGAAGGGGCCAGGGATTTAGCTCAGTGGTTTTGCCACCTGCCTTACAAGTACAAAGACTGGAGTTTGATCCTCAGTACCCGCCCCACCACAGGTTGAATATTTAAAAATTTATTAAATACTCCTATTAATCCCCCTCAAAATACTTCTCTTCGCTTCGAACACACATCCCATCATTCTTGCCACTTTCTGAAGCAGTCCTAGAAGTCATCTTTTGTGTCTTTCTAAGGTCCGATAAAAAGATACAGTGAATGCTGCCACTGAGTGTCATCCAATGGAACGGCAGGCTCAGAATCACTTTCCAGTGTGTCCCCATCCACCTCATTCACTGGATGTGGCACCATTTGACTTCTGGCGTTTTCCCAAGTAAAAATGAAAATGGAAAGTAAAGCTTTTCAGGGCTGGGGATTTAGCTCAGTGGTTCCCTGCCTGGTATCCCAAAAAAGAAAAGTAATGCTTTTCAATTGATTTAGAATACTGAGGCAGCCACCACAGCAAAACTAAAGACACACAAAAAAAGGATTTCCAAAACTGCTTCAGAAAGTGGCAAGAACAATGGGATAAGTGTATTAGAAGAGAAGGGGGATATTTTGAGGTGGTTTAGTGGCAATGTGTCTTTTAGTGAAATACGTTTTAAAATTTAAACACTACGTTTTCCAGTTCCACCTTGTATTTCAGATCAGTTTTCTGCCTCATACGTTGACAAAAGTAAATACACAGGATGGATGGTCTGCAAGAGATGCTGCGGGAAATCTTGAGAATGAACAATAAAGTGAGAAGAACAGCACTGAGACTAAGATAAAATTCAGAGGTGTTGGAGTTGTCCAGGCAAAATTTATTGTGGAACTATGGTGATAGACACAGTTCTATCTAACTGCTGATCCTAGTGGCTTTCCCTGATTACCTAGGCAAATTTGTACCTCAACATTTCAGCAACCCGACCCTGCTTTATCCCTGCCCCCCGCATTAATGCTAATTTGTACACTTCTTAGTTTGGTTTATTGTCTTTCTCCTCGGAACATAAGCTCCTTGGGGGAAGAAACTGTATCTCCTAACTTGGCATGGCATTAGTAGGTGCTAAATAGGTATTTAAAAATATACACAGAAATGATATGTTAGGTGTTTGGGTAAAGGAACAACTGAAGAGCCAGGTAGACCAGTATTCCCATTCTGACTGCCGCCCTGTGCAAGCTAATTGATCTCTCTGAGCCTCTATGTCTTCATCTACGGATGCACAGAAATAGGCTGACAGAACACATCTCTTAGAGATGGTGTGAAGATGACAGAGCTCTGAGGGATTAGCTTTCCTTACTAGGTTTGAGGAGCAGCAAGGAGACCATTGTGACTGGAAGCTGAAGAATGAGCAGAATGTTGGAGATGAGGTTGGAAAGGAGTGCAGGTCTGGATTTTATTTCACAAGTGCTGAGAAGTCTTTGGGTGGTTGGGTGAAATAATCTGACACAACCCAAGCTCACTTTGGAAGGATTCCTTTGGCTATGTGAGAATGAGAGAGGAAGCAAAGATACCAGTTAGGGGCTCATTCAGTAATCCAAGCCAGAGGTGAGCATGGATGGGATTAGGATGGTAGCAGTGAAATGACTAGTTAAAACAATTTGAATGTGGGGATCCATATGACTTCCTCATGGGTAGATTATGAGATGAGAGAGTATGCTTTAAGTCTGTCACTCTGTCCTTTTTTTTTTTTTCTTAGCTGCAAAGGTGATCTCTGATGGAGAAATGATTTAGGAAAGAATGAACAGAATCAAGAATTCAGTTTTCAACGTATTAAATTTAGTGCACCTACTAGATAGTCATATCAAGCAAGTGATTGGGAATAAAAGCCCAAGAATTAGAAATGACCAGGGTTTGACAAATACATTTTAAAGTTCTGGGCATATGGGTAATAACTAAAGGTGTTGAGACTGAGATTCATTCAGTAAATATTTATTCAACACTGTGTGTTAAGTGTTCTAAGCATTATAGCAATGAACATACAAAAAAATTCATACCCTCATGGAGCTTCCATTCTGAAAGGGAAGGGGATAATGAACTAATAAAAGCATAGAGTAGTCCTCTTTTATCCAAAGTTTTGCTTACTGTGGCTTGTTACTTGCAGTCGATCATCGGTACAAAAAATATTAAATGGAAAAATCAGAAAAATCAATTCCTAAGTTTTGAATTGTGCAGTACTCTGAGAAGCATGGTGAAATAATGTGCCCTCTTGCTCCCGTCCTGCCTGGATGTGAATCATCCCTCTGCCAGCTTATATATGCGATGTATGCTATCCACTCGCTTGTCACTTGGTAGTCATATTGATTAGACTGTGGTATTGCAGTCCTTGTCTCAGTAGTCCTTATCTTACTTAACGGTGGCCTTAAAGCGCGAGTGTACAGATGCTGGCAATTGGGATAAGCCTGTATGGATAAGAGATACATGTTTGGTACCATCTGCAGTTTCAGGCACCCCAAGTGGGGGATCTTTGCCTTATCCCCACGGATAAGGAGAAACTGCTCATAAAGTCATGCTAGATAGCAATCAGTATTCAGAGAAAAGTAAGGACCAGTTAACAGAAAAGCAGGAGCGGTTGAAGAGAGAGCCTTGGAAGGTAGTAGGAAATGAAGACGGAGTAGTAATATGCCGGGGAAGAGGAACGAGGTGACACCAGCTACAATGCTATGAAGTGTGTGTCCAAAGAGAATGTTAAGATTCTGAGAATTTCAAAGCTGAGGTTAACATCGCCCCCACAAAACTCGCCACCACTCTTACCTTAATACACACAACTCCGCCCCGGGGTCGGAACTCATGGGCTCACGGTCGTCACCGGAAGTAGTGTTCTACCCGACTTCATTTTGCTGGCGGCTGGATTTCCGGTAGTGGCGGCGGGAAAAGGGCTGCTGTTTCTGTCTAGGCCTCTGAGAGACAAATCCGGCCCGAATCCGAACCATCAGAACCGCCACCATGGTAAGAAGGCGCGGGCCAGCGGCACTGGAGCTTCAAAGTCTACTGTGTTTTGGGGACCGTGGCGGATGGGAGAGGAAGCTGTGGGTTGGAGCCAATTAAGGAGGTGAAGACCCGGGCCGCGGCAATTCGCTCCGGGTGCCAAATACCAGGACCTTGTTGGGGTAGCGGGAGAAAGCGAGGGCTGGGTCTCCGTAGTGGCGAAGGTAGAGCCGTGGTACTGCACACCGCTGTAGCTGTAATGCATGGGACCCGGAGGCATTAAGTAAATATGTTGAGTGAATGTTATCTGAGATTTCGGAGCAGAATTATACCCTCAGAGGTTTAGGGAGGACATGATACAAGGTTCAGACTGGTGAAAGAGGGTAAGAGTCCAAGAAGGAGTTTGGAAAGGTTATGGTTCGAAACTACTTCCCTGCTAGGTCAGTGAATGAAGAGGAAGCAGGAGGATGATTGCGAGAGTTCCACTCATATGTGTAGCATACTTTCAAAGTTTGTGTATGTAACGATTCTCAGGCGCTGGGGCTACATCGAAAAATGTTTTATTTCTTTATTAGGCTTTCGCTTTCTTGTTGAGCACAAGGATACTATAATTCAGTGTGGAAATTAAGAACTAGACAAAATAACGACGAAGAGGGGTGCGGAGTAAGATTTTTTTTTTTTTTGGAATGATGGTTCCTGGGAGATTCCTAAAAATTGTCAGTTTTCTCAACAAAAATAGGAACTAAAAAACTCCAGGGCAAACAAGTATGAAGGGTAGCATGATTAAAAGTTGCTGCAGTGGAAAGGGAGAGGTAGAAGATGAGATGGGAGGTATCATGTTGATGATGAAGCTTGTCATTGAAGGATTTTAACTAGCAAAAGGATCTGAACCCAGTTGGGTTTAGAAAATTCTTTACCTGTTAAGTAGTGGATAAGAATGGAAGCAGGGAAACCTCATATGATACTGAAGAATTGACTAGGTTCCAGCACAGCTTTCCTACTGGTAAGACATGTCAGATCCTTAATCTCTTCCAGGATAAGTGGCTTCATTTGTAAAATAGGAATGATAATGGGTCCAATTTTGAGGATTAAATGATAGGAACAGTACTAATCACAATGCCAGACTATACAGTGAGGACCCAAGAAGTCTTAGCTATTACAAGGGAAATGAATGAATGGTGCCCAAAAGATCCTGTGTATAGAAGACCTTTAAAATGATCACTAATCCTGGCGTGGCATTGCATGCCCGCCTGTAATCCCAGCACTCTGAGGTCGGGGTTTGGGGTAGGGGAGTGGGCTGAAGCAGGAGGATTTTGGGGTAGGGGAGCAGGCTGAGGCAGGAGGATTGTTATGAGTTGAAAGCCAGCCTGGGCTACATAGTAAGTTTGAGGCTAGTCTGAACTGCATAGTGAGACCCTGGCTCCAAAAAAAAAAAAAAAAAAAAAAAAAAAAAAAAAAAAAAAAAAAAAAAAAAAAAAAAAATCACAAAGAGCAGAACCACATAATGTGGATCTTAAGCATAGTAGGCAGTATCATAGGGGATTCAGATTTCAGGTCCACATCTTCATAGTTTCAGGAATGTACTCAAAGCTCAGAAAGATGAACAGCAAGCAAGCATAGTGGGTGGTATGGAGAAGGCACTTGGATAAGTTAGGACTTGCCTACACCTGTCAGGCTGATGGGAAACTGATAATCAGGTGGTGTTTCTAAAGAACCAAACTGCCAAGGGCACCTGATGGTGATGTCTGTATGATCTATTTTAGCAAAGCCACATTGGAAGCCAGATGATAGAAGTAAGATACTATTAGGTGTCCAGAGAGGTTAGCACTGTGGCCACTGCAAGTTTACCTCTGTGGGTCTGGAAAACACACTAATTAAATTTTTGATTTGGAGAGTCCATTTTCCTCACTTCCAAGATGACCATCTCCTTCCAAGTAATAAGCTTCTTCTTGGTTGGATTTTAGTGCCAGTCCCACTTCAGCCCTTTGTTGTTTATTAAATTTGGATATCCAGATTGTCCTATAGCATACAAATCACATCCTCAAAACAGCAGCTGTTTTAATCTCTAGTATAAGTGGATTTAATTAATTTGGTGATATCCCTACACTCCTCCCTGAAATGGATATAATGTAGACAAAGGCAGTTGTAATATGAGAAAGATTTTTTTTTTTATGTTACTGAGGATTGAACCCAGAGCTTTCACACTGATTTATATCCCCCTGCCCCCTTCTGACAATGGGGATTGAATGCAGGGGCACACTACCTGGAACCTACATCCCATCCATCCCTTTTTTTTTGAGACAGGGTTTTGCTAAATTGTCCAGGTAGATCTTGAACTTGTGATCCTTGTGCCTCAGCCTCCCTAAGTGCTGGGATTACAGGTGTGTTCCACCACACCTAACTGAGAAAGGTTGACCTTTTTTGTTTGTTTGTTTTTTGAGACAGGGTCTCACTATGTAGTTGAGACTGACCTGGAACTCACTGCGTAGCCCAGGCTGGTCTCGAACTCACAGTGATCCTCCTGCCTCAGCCTCCCGAGTGCTGGGATTATAGGCATGCACCACTACGCCCTGCAAGAAAGATTGACTTTTAAGGGAAGGGAGAATAGCAGATTACTGGGCTGACTTCTCAGAAAAGGGCTATGATAAAAGTCAGCTCTATCAAAAAGACACATGGAAAATAAGGCTACAGTGAGAGAATTTAGGGAGGACCCAAGAGTTTGTGTGTCCAGAAGGACTAAGTCTTATCCTTGCTGCTTTCTTACAGACGGTGGGCAAGAGCAGCAAGATGCTGCAGCATATTGACTACAGGATGAGGTGCATCCTACAAGATGGCCGGATCTTCATTGGAACCTTCAAGGCTTTCGACAAGCATATGAATTTGATCCTCTGTGACTGTGATGAATTCAGGAAGATCAAGTGAGGAGTGGGCTGTTGGGGGTGTGTGGAGAAGTGGATTGAGTGGGTGGGCCAAGCAGCAGAAGGTGTTGTAGCTAGTTGGCTCTTCTCTGTTATGCTTTTGAGAGCAGATGTAAGTGGGGACATTGAACACTACACTTGATCTTAGCCAAAAGGCCGAGAAGCGATGGTGGGGACATTGAACACTAAGAAATCTTAGTTTATCAAGCCTGTCTAGTTCTAGCAAAGTACAAGTTGTGAGGAGGGCTGCTAGACTTTTTGTTTCTCTGACTTTGCATGCCCCTGGGTACTGGGGTAAAGGGCTCTCATGTTCTCCCCACAGGTGTGAGGGGGGAGAGCTTGATTTTCTGGCTTCATTACCTATTTGTAAAGCTGTAGCCTAAAGGGCTCTCCCAATGCAGCCTGGTCTGAAACTGCTTTAAGAAGCCTCTGACCCTCTTCAGGGTAAGTGCTCTGCTCCCCATGTTGATTTGGGGCCAGTGATTTTTGTTGGCATTTTAGAAACATTGGAGGTGTCTTCTGCTTTGATACAGTTCCATAAGTTATTGGTTAACTCCTTAAGTATAGTTGATCATAAGCTTCTGGCCTACAAAATTAAATAGTCTAGCTTTTTGTTCTGTTTTATATTTAAGATACCTTGAGGCCTAAAGAGATTATGTGACTTTGTGGTCATATGTATACTCTTTGTCCTATGCAGTTTCCGTATTATGTTGTCCCTGACTGAATTTCCTTGGATATTTTTAAGGGACCTGTTGTTTTCTTTTGTGGTATCAGGCTAAGAAGTATAGGATAAAAAATGCAGAGCTGCCTGTGCCTAGTATGTATTAGAGAAAAGCCAGAAGATCAGTGTGAAACTATTCCAGATAGTTCCCTTCTGTTTTTTATTTGTTTTTTTCTTTTATTCTTCCTGTTTTTAAAATGAAACTGACTTTTATTCTGATAAAAAATATTTATTGGAAAATTTTAAAAAATTAGAAAAAATTGAAATGCCCATAAGCCCCCCATCATGAACATGCTTATTTAAAAATAAGAAAATTTGAGCTGAAAAAAAAGTATCCACAGAAAACCAATTAATAGTATATAAAACTTCATTAAAGTGAAATCTTTTAATTTTTAAAAAAAATCAGAATATCTTATTTATTTTGAGGAGTTTTGCCTTTGCTACCTATAGTCCACCCTTTTCCCTTATCCTTTTGCAGTTATTTTTCCTCTTTTGCTGTTTGGGAGTTTGTTTTTGTGGTTTTGAGGAACTGATGTGAACAATTCATCTTCTCTGTGAAACTTCTCTTATCTTTTTCTTTATCACTTCTTTTATTTCTGAAGTGAGGTGAGGAACAAAAGTAGAGGCCAGTGAGGTTGAATTGGTCCTGGAAGGACATAAGTGGGGTGGGTGGGATTCACTTGGGGAGTTGTGGATGCCTCTTGGCTGAAGGAAAGATCTTTGTAGTTGGCTGTAGGAGAACATGAGCCAGGGCTCGGCTTTTCTGCCTTTGTCCTGTCCTTTGGTCTGTGTGTCCCATGGAGTTGGTAGGAAGCAGGTAGATAGTCACTTACGGGGTCATGCACTCAGCCTGTGGAGAGTGTCCATAGGATCGGTCTTGGGAAAGTTTCTGTACTGTTTATTAGGAGAGAGTATAAAGCTAATCTAGGAGATGTCTAGGCAGGTGAATCTGAACTTTACCCATCCTCTAATTCTTGCTTTTTTGTTTCTTCTAAACCTACTTTAGGCCAAAGAACTCTAAGCAGGCAGAAAGGGAAGAGAAACGAGTCCTTGGTCTGGTGCTGCTTCGAGGGGAGAACCTGGTCTCCATGACAGTAGAAGGACCTCCTCCCAAAGATGTGAGTCTGAGCAGGAAGCCTGTGGAAGGTAGACTCTCCCATGAGCCAGGCTTTTTGTTAGGTTCTCTGCATTTCATTGCCTTTCTTACAGGAGTTCTCTTGAGTTTGCCCCCTTTTACAGGTAACAGATGGAAACTTAAAAGAGTAAGAAATGGAGCTAGGAGTTGGGTTTTTCTGAATTTAAATGCTCCCTTTTTCCTCAGTTGATACATGTAGTCAGTGGAGAGATAACTGAGGCCAGCTGCATCAGTTCTTAATGTGATGGCAAAGTCTAGGTAGAACTTAAAAAATTTTAACTCCGAACAGTGGGATACATGTGTATTTTATTTTGTACCTGTTGTAGTTATAACAGTTGTAATACTGAGCATTTGTTGTATACCAAGCATATCAGTATTTTGTTTAATCCCTGTAATAGTCTTTTGAGATAAATTATCCTTACTTATAGGTGAAACAAACGAGTTTTAGTAACTTGTCTAACATGTCACAACTAAGTGGTGACATTGACATTCGATCCCAGACAATCTTGGTTCTATAAACACCAAGCTAAGTTTATAAATAAGGCAAGCTGGAGAGAGTCTAACCAAATTTGTTTCCCCTTTTTTCATTTTAAGACGTTGTTAATCAAGAGTATAATTTTGCCTTTTTATCCTTTTTTTTTTTTTTACTTAAACATATGGCATGCATGTTATATTTTCTATGCTTTTTCACTTAACATAAATGTTTTTTTCTTATACTAGTTTTGTAAGTCAGGCTAATGACCTAGTTATACCTCCAGTGAGTACAAAGGAGTTTATCCCAGTCATTTCCTTTTTTTTGGCTCTTATATTGTAACTTTTTTTCAGTTATAAATGTCTAAGCGATGTTACCATATATTTTGGTTTGAAATACATGCACATGTAATGCTTAATACATTCTTCCAGTAGAATTTGTTTTATTACGATCCCATTGTTTACAGATAAGAAGACTAAATCCCAGCATTGTGGCATTATTTGCCCACTGTTACGTAGGAGGTGAGAGTTGGGAGTGGATCTCATGTCCCTTTATTTCCAAGTCAAGTTCTCTTGTCTATTGAACCCATCTGAATGGAACCTAGACCTTTGGTCTTGGTTTAATTTTCATAGGAGTGCATATGGGTGGTTGAGTTGTGACACATTTCTCTAGTCTTTATTTCTAGCTTGCTTCAGAAGTGACCTTTGGTCATATATTCTTGGATGGGGGAAGAATGGTTTTAGCACATAGGGGCAGGTAGTATTACAAGCTATTTTGATGCCTTTTAAGTCTGAGGGAATCTCTTAGCAATGGTATTCCAAAATATATTTCTGATTCTGTAAGCCACTGAGTATTTTAGCTTGTTTCTTTATTTTTCAGACTGGCATTGCCCGAGTGCCACTTGCTGGAGCTGCTGGGGGACCAGGAATTGGTAGGGCTGCGGGTAGAGGAATCCCAGCTGGTGTTCCCATGCCACAGGCTCCTGCAGGACTTGCTGGGCCAGTCCGTGGGGTTGGTGGGCCATCTCAACAGGTGAGGAATTGGTGGAAGGGGATCATCTTCTGATTCACTGTGTGGGGAGAGTCCAGAATGACCAGTCCATGGTGATTAGGCTATTCACTTCTATTAAAATGAAGAGATAGACAAAAGGGATTTTGGCTGACTCTATTTGAACAAGGTGTTTCTCTGGCAACATTGAATGTACTTTCTGATAATCTGTCATCAAGTTCTATTTGAAAATGTAGGTGCCTTCCCTAAATTGAACTGGGTACTCTTAAACTGAGGCCTAGAAAGTGGGGCAGAATTGGTCATTCACATTTGACCTTTCCTGACACTTGATTTTGGGTAGGAATTCTGATGCCATGGATTATAGCTTTAGGGAATTTGGTATCTGCTAGCCTTTTACCAGATTGGGGAGGTAGGGGAGTGGAAAGCTGCATTGCTCTGTACTGTTCTCGCTTTCTTCCTTCTTGTACCCTTTTAGGTGATGACCCCACAAGGAAGAGGCACTGTTGCAGCTGCTGCAGCTGCTGCCACAGCTAGTATTGCAGGGGCCCCGACTCAGTACCCACCCGGCCGTGGGGGTCCTCCTCCTCCTATGGGCCGAGGGGCACCCCCTCCAGGTGAGGAGCCCATGGGGAGACCAGTGGTAGTGGTACAAGATGAAGTAGCTGGATTCATGATGAGATAGCACCTTGACTGAAACTAATGATGTATTTGTATAATGAAGCAGGATTACTCTGAGATCCGGCTTAGAACTTGCTGAACAAAGAGCCATTCATTGGGAACCCTGGCTCTTTGACACAAGTGCCAGTTTATTAGGAGAGGCTAAGAGGGTGGAATGGTCTATTTTTGACTTGGTGGACAGCTTTGTATGTTTTCTGTTACCTTTTCAAACAGGCCCTTGAGCTATATTCTTGGGGTTTTTCTCTTTTAGGCATGATGGGCCCTCCTCCTGGCATGCGGCCACCCATGGGTCCCCCCATGGGGATCCCTCCTGGACGAGGGACTCCTATGGGCATGCCCCCTCCAGGGATGCGGCCCCCTCCCCCAGGTATGCGAGGTAAGTTTCTGTTGCAGTGACTTTGTCTTCCTTCCCTAGAGCTTAATAGGATGGGAAATGGAGGGAAGATTGGGTTTATTAGACCTCATCCTCTGGGCTTTTGGGCCTTAAGCTTAGGGAAATGAACTCCAAGGTACTACTCAGTGCCATTAGGGCACTGAGAAATAATGCATTGTAAGGATCTCCAGCAGAGGATATGAGATTGCCATGTGTCCTGGGTTTGATAGTGTCTAGTAATGAAGAGGTACTCTGGGCTTTTATTTATTATGTATGCCTTTTTAACTCTAGTTTGAGAAATGTTGAGATGGTACCCATATGGATAAGAAAATAGGCCCAGAGAGAGCTTGGCATCCTGGCTGTCAGCCTTGTTTTTTCCACCAAGCCACAGCCATATTTAGTGACCCTTGTTTTTCTAGTTGGGTTTTCCAGGTATAGGAACCCAACAGCCCCAGAGAAGTCCCTTGATTGCTTGATAAATGCTGGTGTGGGGGGGTGGATGTGGGGGTGGGGATTTAAATTGCAGATCAGGCACTGACTAAACTTCTTACTCTTACTTCAGGCCTTCTTTGACCTTGGCCAGAGTTTCGGAAGTAGCAAGTAGCTCCACAGAAGCGTGGGTCCGATTCCCCAGGGCCACGTTACCACAGACCTGTTTGTTTGTTATGCTGTTGTTCCCGGAGTCTCACCGGATTGTCTGGTTTCCCTTACAGGGCCCCCTCCCCCGGGAATGCGCCCACCAAGGCCCTAGACTCATCTTGACCCTCCTCTGCTCCTTCACTGTTTCCTGTGAGGCTGTACATAGTCCTTTTATTTCTTGTGGCCTATGAAACTGATTTATAATAAACTCTTAAGAGAATAGTGTAACTGCACCTGATGTATCCATTTATTTTAGAAAAACTTTGATATATTTGGTGCTTAATAGAGTCAAGAAGGGTCATCTTTAAAAACTAGCTCTAATTTTAGCTACTTCCCTGTAAAATACATTTATTCCTATATACTAAGATTTACAAAATGAAACTATAATGAGACATTTCCCTCAGACTGTGAAAATCAGTTTGTTGAAATAAACATTCATATGTTCTTGGTCAGGGTATATTGGTACATCCACTTGGGAAGGCACTCATTTAGATAGCTCCTTGGGCAATGCTTTATGAAGCAAATGCTAAAAATGAAAACTATGCAGAGAGGAAAAGTTATAGTATTTTCCCCCAGGGTCAAACATGTATGTAATTAAATACTATCGAAATGTACAATGTCTGTGATTTCTTCACCCAGAGTCTGTTGAATTGAAAACATGGTCACTGAGCAGTACTCTGGGGTACAGGAATAAGGTCGACACTGTTAAGTTGCTATAGAGGGGGAAGATAGTTCTAAATATTTAGCAGAGGAGGTGTTAATAGAAAAAAGTGGTATATCACCAAGGTGTTGATGGGTTTCTCAATATACAGTCAGTCAGTTGAACACACTTAGCAGGAGACATACAGACAAGGCCTTTACAAGATTTTAACAGTCTTTCATTAAAAACAAATAGGAAATTAGTATGGAATGTTAAAATACTGCAGAGGGCTTTATGAAAAAACTTAAAAGCTAAAATCAAAATAGTGAAAGACTGGCTGGGCTTAGTGGTACATTTCTATCCTGGCACTCTGGGAGACCGAGGCAGGCAGACCCTAAGTTTGATGCCAGCTTGGGTGACTTAATGACTTAGACCCTGTCTCAAAAAGAGCTGGGGATGTAATTCAAAGAGAAGGGCAAAGTCGCTGGGTTCAATCCTTAGTACCATCAAAAAACAAAGCAAACAAATTCTGAAAGCTTTTCCTTTATGATAGGACAAGTATTCTCACTGCTGTTCAATGTATAGGAAGTTCTAGCTACAGCAGGTTGCCAAGAAAGAAGAGAAGGTGGTTAAGTAGGAAAGGCAGAAGTAAAACAAAATGCACAAAAATCTACAAGAAAACTATTAGAGCTATTGAATTTAGCAAAGTTGGTTAAAGACACAAAAATCAACATGGCAGCATGAAACAAGGAAAAAATTCTTGGAACAACCAGAATACAATTATTTACTATCTCTAGGATCAATACCTAAACATGTAAAAGGTTTGCCATCATTGCACTAGGATACCAAAACCACTAAAAATAACTTGGTGGCAATATGGAGAAATAGGAACCTTCAAGCAATGCTGCTGAGAACAAAATAGTGTGGCAGATGGGGAAAACAGGCACTTCCTGAAAGCTGAGCAGTATCACTGTGATTCAAGAGTTCCACTCCTGAGTGTACTTTTTGTGGTATTACATGGAATATAATGTCCCTGGTTCCTATCACAAAAACATCTGAGATGTTTGGAATTTCTTGGAAGTGTCTTGTAGTGCACCCCTTTGTAACACAAGAGTTGGTGTTACTGAGGTGACTTAGGATGGGAACTGTCTCCCCTTTAGAAAGATCAAGCAGTTTGGAGTTTAAGTTCTTGGTGCTTCCATCCTTGCCCACTAGCCTCTCGGATGGGGCGAGTGGCTGGAGATTGGGCTCTCCAAACTTGAGTGAGATTTGCTGGGTTGAACCCTGGGAGGGTCCTGTGCCTGGAGAAGGCAGGAAAGCTTGAGTCCCTTCCCCCATCCCTTGCCCCGTGTACCTCTATCAGGCTGCTCATCTGTATCCTTTAAAATAAATATCCTTTGTAATAAACTACAAATGTTAAGTGTTCCTCTGAGTTCCGTGAATCATCCTGGCAGATTCCCAAGGTGCTAAGTGGGAGGTGGGTTGTATCTGGAGACTTTATAGATGGTGTGTCAGAAGCACAGATCCCAACCATTGGCTGGGTGACACCCTGTAATTGTTATGAGCCTGTCTTTCCATTGGCTGGTATGTGGCAGCAGCATTCACTAGTTTGATTATACCTCATAAAGACAGGAAGGAAAGATTTCCAGAACTTCATCAAAAAGGTGGGATAAGTGTGTTTGAAGTTAGGGGGAATATTCTGAGGGGGATTAATGACAATGTGTGTTTTGCTAAAATGCATTTCTAAATTTAAACACTTGCTGTATTTTTTGATCATCCTTTGTGTTTTGAGGTATCCTTTAAGTTGGGTAATCTGAGCTGTTTTGCCTAAAAATTCTTTGAATCCTTTAAATGTCTTCATCTAAAGTCAGGTTGCTTCCCACTTTATCTTATCAGTTAGGTTAACTTTATTTATTTGGATAATATTTTAAATATTTGGATATTTATTTATTTGGGATTGAACTCTGGTTCTTGTACTTGTGAGGCAGGTGGTGGAACCACTGAGCTAAATCACCAGCCCCTACGTTAACATTTGGGTGTGATGGCCCTGTTGTGTGTGGGGAAAAACCCAAGTTTACGGAGTAGAGATACAGATAACCTTGGGTAATCGATTATGTCCTGAGTTGCAGTTTTCTGAAAAGTACAATTATAACTTTCTGCTTTCCACTTACTTTTATTTGTTCTATCCTACCTCACATATAGGGTGATGAAAAAGTTTTGAAACTAGAGAGCTGCACACATTGAATACACTAAATGTTGAGTTGTAATGCTTAAAGGAAAATGTTTAATTGTTGCTAAGTGAATTTCAACTCAGTTTTAAAAAGAAAGAAATAATTTCTTCTCAGAAAAACTTGGCTAAGGCTTTTCCCAGTGGAGGGAGGAGCTGAGCAGAGATGAAGCTGTTGCTAGGTATTGGAATAAGCAACCTTCCTCCCGCCCAGGACTACGGATTGAACTCAGGGCCTTTGCACTGAGTTACATTCCCAGCCCTTTTAAAATTTTATGTTTTGATCCAGTGTCTTGCTAAATTGCCTGTGTGAGGCTTGAACTTGTGATCTTTCTGTCTCAGCTTCCCAGAGTGATGGGATTATAGGCATGTATCTCCACAACAGGCCGTAGATACTCTTCTTTTTACCCTGTGTTTTAGTTTGGATCTGGATGTCCCCTCAAAGCCTCATTCAGTCAGAGGTAGCTGAATCTGGAATGTGTGATGCTGGGATTAAGGGTATGTGATTGCTAAGCCACTACCCAAGAGTGAATGGGTTAGCCCCACCCTAATACTGGTAGTCTAGATGGGATAAAAGAGGCAGACTCGGTGAAGCTCTTTCTTGTTACCTTTGCTACCTTGTGCGTGCCATGTTGTTTCGTTTTCTTTTTTTTATTTTCTGAGACAGGGTCACACTATGTAGTTGAGACTGACCTGGAACTCACTGTGTAGCCCTGGCTGGTCTTGAACTCACAATGATCCTCCTGCCTCAGCCTCCCAAGTGCTGGGTTTTAGCCATGTTTCTACTCTACTGTGCCATGCCAGTTTGTCATTCCTGCCTTGAAGTCAGTGGATTATGGACTGAAACTTCTATGAACTGTAAGCCAGATAAACCCCTTCCCTTTTAACTTTGGGTATCAGGTATTTTGTCTCAGCAATGAGAGAAAATGAACACATCATCCAAATAACAAGTATAAAGACACAACACAGAAAAATGTAATTACATATTTCCTAGAGATATTTTTTTGTGGGGGGCTGATGTTGAGACAATCTCACTGTGGTCTCTCCAACTCACAGTGATCTTCTTTCCTCAGCCTCCAGAGTGCTGGGGTCATAGATGTGTGCCACCACACCTAACTTGCCTAGTGATTAACAAAGTCAAAATCTTGTATACTCAAAAATATTCTTGAAAATCAATCAAAACACTTTATTTATTTATTTACTTTTTGAGTAATAGGGATCAAACTTGGGCACTTGCACTTGCGAGGCAGGCAGCAGAACCGCTGGGCTAAATCCCCAGCCCTGAAACTCTCTTGAAATACACTGTATGTGTCTTTGAATATACAACCCTTTACAGAAAAACTTGAGGCTGACTGGCTTTTGAGGGCCACTAAGAAAGAGCAAAAAGGAAAAGTTTATGATCAGACTTTCAGATTGAGGCTTTCAGACCATTTTTTATA